TGTGGATACTGGATAGTATAATGGGTATACTGGATGGCATGGTGTGGATACTGGATAGTATAATGGGTATACTGAATGGCATGGTGTGGATACTGGATAGTATGATGGGTATACTGGATGGCATGGTGGGGATACTGGATAGTATAATGGTTATACTGGATGGCATGGTGTGGATACTGGATAGTATAATGGGTATACTGAATGGCATGGTGTGGATACTGGATAGTATGATGGGTATACTGGATGGCATGGTGTGGATACTGGATAGTATAATGGTAATACTGGATGGCATGGTGTGGATACTGGATAGTATAATGGGTATACTGGATGGCATGGTGGGGATACTGGATAGTATAATGGTTATACTGGATGGCATGGTGTGGATACTGGATGGTATAATGGGTATACTGGATGGCATGGTGTGGATACTGGATAGTATAATGGTTATACTGGATGGCATGGTGGGGATACTGGATAGTATAATGGGTATACTGGATGGCATGGTGTGGATACTGGATAGTATAATGGTAATACTGGATGGCATGGTGTGGATACTGGATAGTATAATGGTTATACTGGATGGCATGGTGTGGATACTGGATAGTATAATGGTAATACTGGATGGCATGGTGGGGATACTGGATAGTATAATGGTTATACTGGATGGCATGGCGTGGATACTGGATAGTATAATGGTTATACTGGATGGCATGGTGGGGATACTGGATAGTATAATGGTTATACTGGATGGCATGGTGTGGATCCTGGATAATATAATGGGTATACTGGATGGCATGGTGTGGAAACTGGATAGTATAATGGTTATACTGGAAGGTATGGTGTGGATACTGGATAGTATAATGGGTATACTGAATGGCATGGTGTTTATACTGGATAGTATAATGGGTATACTGGATGGCATGGTGTGGATACTGGATAGTATAATGGGTATACTGGATGGTATGGTGTGGATACTGGATAGTATAATGGGTATACTGAATGGCATGGTGTGGATACTGGATAGTATAATGGGTATACTGGATGGCATGGTGTGGATACTGGATAGTATAATGGGTATACTGGATGACATGGTGTGGATACTGGATAGTATAATGGGTATACTGAATGGCATGGTGTGGGTACTGGATAGTATACTGGGTATACTAGATGGCATAGTGGGGATACTGGATAGTATAATGGGTATACTGGATGGCATAGTGTGGATACTGGATAGTATGATGGGTATTCTGGATGGCATGGTGTGGATACTGGATAGTATAATGGTTATACTGGATGGCATAGTGTGGATACTGGATAGTATGATGGGTATACTGGATGGCATGGTGGGGATACTGGATAGTATAATGGGTATACTGGAAGGCATAGTGTGGATACTAGATAGTATGATGGGTATTCTGGATGGCATGGTGGGGATACTGAATGGCATGGTCTGGGTACTGGATCACATTATGATACCGGGTGGCATGGTGTAGATACCTGATGGCACGGTGTGGATACTGGATGGAACGGTATGGATACTGGATGGAACGGTATGGATACCAGATGGCACGGTGTGGATACTGGATGGAACGGTATGGATACCAGATGGCACGGGGTGGATACTGGATGGAACGGTATGGATACCAGATGGCACGGGCTGGATACTGGATGGAACGGTATGGATACCAGATGGCACGGGGTGGATACTGGAAGACACTGTATGGATACTGCATGGGATTATGGTATTGGGTTACATGGTGTGGATACCGCATAGCACAGTGTGGAGTACTTTACTGTGTTTTCCTTCACAATCTATGTTTAAGAAATGTGTGAAAAGGTTTAATGGTTTAGTTAAGTATCAAAATCACAGCACTCTGGGCATTCTCATAAGCGTTCCGTCCCCATCGTCAGCAGCAAGCGCAGAGTTCCGATTCCGATGGTGAAAGTAACAGTCTGATTGTATATCCGTCTCACCAGGATGGGGTGAAGAGGAGTTGAGTTGAGTCAAGAATTGACATCACAGAACTCGGGGCATTCGCATGTGTACTCCATCATCATCTTCAACAGCCAGCGCAGAGTTCCAATACTAATGGTACCGGTCATAATCTGGTTAAATGTCCGTCTTGCCTTTCGTCTGAGTGTACTGAGCCGGCCAGACCCTCTGGTTACATACAGGTGCCTCATTCTCTGCAGGCCATAATAATCTTGTTTCTCAGCTGATTCCGTTGCTTGTTCCCAAAGGGCCTTGACCACATCTGCCTTGTCATGTATCCATTCACCACCCAGTGGTGCAGACGGTTAGAGAGGAGGAAATGAGTGATGGAGGGGAGAGGGGTCTTTTAATAGAAGAATGAAGTGAATAAAAAGATAAGGAGGACATGGTGTGAGCTGTACGCGATAGCAAGGATGTCATAGAAAGACAACCTGAGTTGGTTGAGGGCTTCAGGCCACTGGGGGATAAAGGACTAAAGAAAAAACAAAGAAAGCATAACACATAACCTGAGTGCTTGAGAAACAGAAAAGAACAGACAAAATAAAAGCACACACAAACAAACACTTCGATCAATGTTTTTATCTTTTTCCTATTCTTTGCTAACAACCGGGTGTAAGCTTTGGGGGGGGGGGGGGGGGGGGAAGAATTCTTGGCATTCGTCCACCTCCAGACTGTGGTTTTATTCCAGAAACTGAGTGTTACATGGACATCCACTTTACATTTGGCTTATTTGTATGCAAACTCTTGATTCTTGCCTCTCAGGCAGTAAAACTCCAACTTTAAAGGATGACCCGAATTAGTCGACTCCTACGACATGCTTGTTGGGTGGCAGTGTGTCTATTCTTCTTTTCTCCACAATGAGGCCTCAGAACTGACACGGGGATGTGTCTTTATAAATTAATAGCGCAAGAATCCGACATCACTACAATGAAAACAATCACAAGAAGAGGTCGTAAGGATGATAACATGTACCTGAGGGATGAATGCTAGCATTCTACCGGCAAGCATGTAGAGTCTGCTAGTAGCCAGCAGTCCTATCTCATTTGATGATCTGCCAGAAAGGCCTAATCGTTTGTTTTTACCTGTTGACAATTGACACCAAACGGTAACATCCCATAAACCAGGGCTATTTAACTAGCGGCCCACCAGCCAAATCTGGCCTGGGTAGACTAGCCATTGGCCCCCGTGGATTAATGCCAGATATTAATGATCTTTCTATGCAGAGAGTCGGCTCTGTGGCTAAGTCGATGCGAACGCTTCGTAATGCCGGGATGCCAGGTTGGATCCCAGCTGAGGGCCAGGCGCCCTGCGTTGGTTTCGACAGTGGTATCAAGAAAGCCGACCGTCCAGCAGGCAATGGCAAACTACTGGATGTAAACTTGCCTAGAGAAACCACACAACAGCCAGGGGCTGTTGGGGTTGGTTCTGCAACGTCCTGTAAAGGATACGCAACTAACCTTTCTTCGCAAACTATGCAGGGGCTTGGGTTTCCAGATCTGGACCCCTGAGTAAACACAATTGAATAGCCCTGTCATAGACTATTGAAATGGTTACAGGACAATTTATAACTATGGAGACTGCTACAGTAATTTGGATCTATGCATTCGCAAATGTTGACTCATTCTGTTCCACTGCCTTACAAGTGGGTTGTCTGAGTGCCATGAGGGTCTTCTACTACTCTTCCATGTGACAAAAGATACTGAATGAGAAAGTGACGTAGAACAGATGAGGAGGATCTGTGGAAGTGTGGGGGGGGGGGGGGTCTTAAGAGAAATAAGGTTCAGGCTCTTGCTCTTTGGCTGCCACAACCAAAAACACATAGTGCTGTTGTAGAGTTCTCTGATGTTGTCTTTCCATCGTGTATAGAGTTTCTCTGATGTTATCTTTCCATCTTGTATAGAGTTTCTCTGATGTTATCTTTCCATCGTGTATAGAGTTTCTCTGATGTTATCTTTTCATCTTGTATAGAGTTTCTCTGATGGTATCTTTCCATCTGGTATAGAGTTTCTCTGATGTTATCTTTTCATCTTGTATAGAGTTTCTCTGATGTTATCTTTCCATCTTGTATAGAGTTTCTCTGATGTTATCTTTTGATCTTGTATAGAGTTTCTCTGATGTTATCTTTCCATCTTGTATAGAGTTTCTCTGATGTTATCTTTCCATCTTGTATACAGTTTCTCTGATGTAATATTTCCATCTTGTACAGAGTTTCTCTGATGCAATCTTTCTATCTTGCTCTTCGTTTTCCACGTGATCTGCATCCTTCTTCTCATCTGGTGTATGGTATGACATCACGAGGCATTTTCTCACAGTGGGCGAATTATTTTATTTACTGTCTTTGTATGTAAATTAAAAATAGTTCTGTGCCGACTTGTTTTCTTATGACCTTATTTCTAATTTGATCTCTATAGTCACTCTTAGAGCCTTTCTTAGCTGCATTGAATATATATAATGACTACCAGCAACGCATCAGGATCAGGTGGCATGATACATAATTATCAACAGTATGTGTCAGGCCTCTGATTTTTAGCAATCGCAGTCTTCTTATTCTTCTGCATTCATCCGAGGGTGTAATTAAGCTGATCCTCTTTACAGAATGGCTGAACTATTTGCGCCCTTCAGTCGTTACATCCGACTTTTTTCAGGCATTTGTTGTCTGGTTAAGACTTTTCTGTAGCTATATCACACGTTCTTTAGAATCAGTCTAGAACCAACTCTGTTGGTTTTTTTTTTTCCTTAAACAATTATGGCAAAGTTAAACCACCTACTGTTCGTAATGTATGTCTACCTGTAACCTTTTCTCTATAGGATTTGTTGGGTGTCATCAAGATTCTCTCCTCATTAATGGGCCCTTTCTGTACTATCAGCATGCTGGGCATATGGTGCGAGAGCCATATTTATAGGGACAATTTACCATCAAAAACATAAGGTAGTCAACATCATACTGACAACTTTTACTTCCCATGAATTTTCCTGGCAATCACTTTAGTCAGGGTGGACCTGGAACCCTTAAGTCAATTATAACAACTCTTTTAGATAAGGATTCAAACCTTTGACCTTTAAGCTATATCCAGCCAGTATGCTATCACTGTCTCTCCTCACAGCATGCTTAAAAATAGTGACTGCCCTCATTTAATTTCTCTATTTAATTTCCAATCTTTAGCTGCTCCTTGAAGACTATTTTATTTGCTTTTCTATTTTTCTGTTGGTAATCTGCGAATTTTGTTAAGAGCACGCATTTATTTCATTACAATTTTGTGTAGGCCTGTGATGATGTAATGCTATAATGTAATTACTTCAGTGCCAATGGAAAATGACTTTTCGCTGAATAGACTGCATACCCTGGGTGCACCAACTGGATCAGTGAGAAAGGAAAACCATGCGGGAGTCACCCGTTGTTACACCAGCAAGAACAGAATGGGAGTTGTTAGCCTAAAAATATTTGGAGACATACTCAGGAGGTCGGAGCACTTATGGTCATGTCTGATGTGCGATGAGGATGATCTTTAAGTGAACAATAAACAGCAAACTTCGGCGCCATTTCCCTCTTTGTGTTGTGTTGCTGCATTCTGTTTGATGTTGTTTGCAGACAGCGTGTCAAAAACATTATTCTTAGTTTACTGTAGGTGGACATATGTAAACACAGAAGTGAGTCTCTGGAGATGTGGATAGTCAGAAGAAAAGGTCATAATTTGTGAAAACAAAAACAATCAAATACACAGCTATTAAAGAGACTGGGAATAACAAGACAGCTGATGACAGAAATAAACAGACGAGTGAAATATTTTAGCCACAACAATCCAAATAACTATACTAGTGAGCAAAAAGTAGACAGCGATACAGATGAGAGGATAAAATCAGGAAACTAGTGACCAGCAGTCTCAGCAAATCCGGACCTACACAGGACTGCAGGTTATACCTGGCTGCTGTAGCCATTAGAGGTGCCCTAATTATAACTTCCTTGGAGGCTGAATGAGGTATCTGAGATTGCCTTGTTGGTCTACCACCAGCACTGACACTTTTTCTTAGTCTTGCAGTGTCCAACCTCCAGGTCCTGTTGGTCTGCCGATCAGAACGGGATCTTCTGATCTTAAGGTACAAACTTTTCAGGTAACATCTCGGAGGGGATAAACAGCACACATGCACATTGTAAAACAAGGAGACAGGGCATACTGGAGATTCACTGTAGCATGTAAATGAATTACTGAATGTTGTCAAGCTGAACTTGTATCCACCAATTGTTGACAGATTCCACATAACACTCTGTAATGAAATTAGAGAACTATATACACCGATAAGAAAGAGACAGTCGGTGCTCTTCAGTCAGATGATGAAAGTAGTTGCACTGGTGACTGGAAAGATCAACAGTAGAAGAGGTAGAGGCAGACCAAGAGACAATACTCGCTAGCCTCAAATGTTGGCATGGAAGAATATCATCAGTGGAAATGATTCAGAATACTGAGCTTTCGGCGACAAGGTAGCCCATTGGCTCGCCGGTAGACGACTTTATCACCGGTTGAGACAGTATTTGGGCCTGTCTCTTTTGATCGCATCAACACTGCAAGATTCTTCTTCAGGGCTACTAGCTGGTAAGCAATGATAAGCCATTTTATACGGCGCACATAACATAGTCACAATTTATAACCTAAAGCTCCTTTCCTGAATGCTGGTTAAATGTGACAATTCTGTTTTCGCAAAGCAAGTCGAGCCAGAATACTAAGGAACAAGATCAGTGGAGAGATATAAGTGCCTATGCTGCCTGGTAGGGCAAATGATGATGACGATAATGATGATGATGATGATGATGACGACAATGATGATGATGTGATGAAGATGTATACTCCAACAGTTTACAGAATCTACACAGCCCTCTGCCATCCTCAACTGACAACACCCCCATGTGTGTACTATTTGACTAAAGAAAACCTGCACACACCACCAGTGCCGTCCTAACAGATGGGCCCACTAGGAACAAGCCTGAGTACCAACAGGCATAGGGACCCCATGCTACTACTCTGTATACTCTGTATATGTCAAATGACTTGACAAACATAACAATTGCATTCCTGTGAATGAGTCACAGTGGCCAAAGCACATAGGTTTGCCCAGGGTCCCATAATGCTGTTAAGTCAGCTCTGCCTAGCACACTTTCTTCAAAATATCTTATTCAGTACTAAGCAACTGACCATACATTTGTCGGGGTCTAGCTAAATCATAAACCATTTTTAACCTTTGCCTCCCATCCAGCTGTTTCGTGAGTCCACTGTGTCTTAGTCATGTTGCCATTATTTTAATTTCTTCATGCTTTAGTATTAAATTAGTATTCATTCGAAGTCGGACTGCATCGTCTCTCTGATAAGTGGGGAACTGACAATCTGCATACAAATAAGCTAGATCTGTAAAATGGATGTGCAGGCAAAGCTCATATTCTGAAACAAGGCTTCAGCTCAGAAGTGGACTGGAAGCCAGAACATTCTGCTGGAGTTTACAGCCAGTGAATGTAAATGAGAAGAGGAATATTTATTGGCTACAGTAATAACTTCTGAAGACACAGCAAGTTTATGTACCACCCACCTGTGACTGACAGAGTTAACCGTATTGGAAAACTTAAAATTGCACAAGATAAACTTCCGAAAAAAACACACAAAGAGAACAAACCAAGCAGACTATAAATCTTGGACAACACTGAGCTGTGCAGGATGTAAATGGGCGCCACCTCCTGGACGGTCTGGAGGTCCACACCATGGGTTAACATCTTGTTCTTAAGGTGCACATCCTCACAGAGGACAACAACTGCAAGTGTAGAAGGTGAAAGCTGTACTGAACGGCTGGAAGGCAAACACCGCAGTTATAACAAGTTTTCAACTCAACTATTAGCCATACGGCCCTTTAAAAAAAAAGTATGTAAAAATGAGATTTTTCATAATTTTGTTTCATTGAAAAAAAGCATCTCATTTTAATTCTCTGAAACTCTACCCTAATAATACAAAAGAAGAGAAAAAGGAGCAGAGGAATGTGGAGTCTTGGTCAGTTTTATTACCCAGGGGGTTGAATACTGATGGTTGTTGTCCGGCCACTAAAAATATGGATTTGTTCTGTTCAGAGCCATTCTTTTGCCCAAAGGTGATTTTTTTTTTTAATGTGAAGGGAAGTAATCACAAGGAGCAAAGAAATAACTGCTTTTCTTTTCTTCGACCAAGGAAACGGAGTTCTCCATGGTTAAGCAGTTTGCCCTGTGCTCTAAAGGTTGTGGCTTTGGCGTCAGACTAGATGGTTTGCCTCTCTAGATCAAGTTTTTGTTGTTGTTGTTGAGGTCACTAGGGATTGTTGCCTGAGCTATGGAGTGTGTCATGCGTCATGTGAGACACACAGTTGGCAAAACATGGCTCTGCACAGAGACAGCTATACAGGACAAAACTTAGTGCAATGAAGTAAATCCTATTTGCTTTTACTCTTTGTGACCCATACAACACACTATTTTGTTTCACACTTCATGTACGGCTTAAATATGCCTCTATTGCACACAATGTTTTATAAAAAAAAAAGTGTTTCTAATGCAGTTTCCAGAGCCTCCTTATTGAACCAGCTGCTCCCTGACAAGCATGTCCTAAGGTGGCTAATTAGGGGTGTGCTGAAATCAAACGTGTTGGGTCAAAAGGTGCAGATCTGCAGCCCAGCTGTAACCCACAACACAATATGCTGACCACTTCTGTAAGGGGTGAACAAAGGAGAAGAAGGATACTGACAGGTGGCAGGGTTATTGAAAGCAATGCATTACCAAGTATTATTTGTAACCAGCCCTTCTCAGCATTTACTGCAAAAGCTTACTAATACTAAAGTTTTAATTCCCGGTTAAAGTCTCACTCCAACCCTCCTGCGTTGTCACTTATGACATAGTTATATATTATATAACTACCAATCTTTGGTCCCTTTTTCTTCATGTTCACCGGCTGTAAACGCTGATGGAAAGGTCCGGTTATTCATCCACTCCCGGACTTTTGTATTATTCCAGAACTTGAGCTCTGCATACACATCCGTTTCACAGATCTGGCTAGTCTGTATGCAGACTGTTGGTTCATGGCTTCTCAGGCAGATAAACTGCACCTTCAAAGGAAACACCGCTATTTAATCACCTTTTACAACATAACAAAGAAGATGCAAACAATAAATTGCACAATTCATTGCCTGGCATATATCGCTGTATCTCGTCGGGTGCATACTACATTAACAATTGATTAAAATGAAGCAAATAAATGAATCTTTCCAACTGAAATACAAAATCAGCTACATTCAAAAACCGTCTGTTTCATCAGGGTAAATACAGGATGAACAGCCTGTTCTTGTGTCTGCATAATTCTGGATTAAACCGGTTTATAGCGGGCGCTTCCACAACTCTCAATAATCTATGGTTGGCTGAAGTGTCAATAATTCGAAATGCATCTTCCTTGTTTAGTGACACACTGTGAATAAAACCACAGCCTTCAGTGCAAGTGACTTGACCAAATTATCATTGAGACCAGGGTCAAAGTCATTTTTTTTCTTCAAAAAAAAAAAGGACCTTGATTCCTAGGCCCACCCCGAAGACCAAGAACAAGAAGGTAAGATAACATCTGAGAAACTCTATACAAGATAAAAAGGGTCATTTACCTGTTTTTTTTTTTAAATGCTACTTCAGTTGTTACTTTAATACCTTCAGTCCTACAGGAGTGATCGGAAAAGATAAAATCAGGAATAAAGTCACTGGAGAAAAAGTCGGCACAAAATCATTTCCGAATTACATTAACCAAAAAAAAAAATAACAAACAAAATGGTTTGCCCACTTAGAGAGAATGCTGTGCCATACCATTCAAGACATATATCAACAGAGGAGAGATAGAGAGCAAGAGATAGACCTAGAACAAGTTGGAAATACAACATCAAAGAAACTCCATAACAACATAACAAGTCTATGGTCAAAGCAGTAAGAACAGAAAGTAGCAGAACCTTATATCTTCCCTAATATCAAAAGCTATACAAGAGGAAGTGAAAAAGAAGAAGTCCCATATTTGTATTATTTTTATTTATACAGGCTCAAAGAGTTGCTGTAAAGCCCAAAAAAACTATGAGACTGACAGATTTTAAGTAACAAGTACCTGGAACTGAAGAAGTTAAAAGATGACTGACCTTGTACCACAATGTCCGGTTTCGTATCTGTCACGTGCCGCCTGTTCAATGGATCTAGCTCTCCTGGTGATATTAGCCCCTGTCAAACAAGATAGACTCACAGGCTGATTATTTAGCATCGATATACAAACATTTTTCTTCTTCTTCTCCTTCTTCTTAACATTCTGGTTGGTTGTCCACTTCTGAATTAGTCTTGCTCCAGAGCTCAAGTTTTGCATGCATATCCGTTTTACAGATCTAGCTTGTCTGCACATGGTTGGTTCCTGGTCCCAGGCACATACACTCCGTCTTTGAAGGAAACATCCCTAATAAGTCAACTCCTACGACATGCTTGTTAGGGAAACACTGGGACTAAACTATTCTTTGTTCTCCACAATAAGTCCCAGAACCCCCACAGGAAAGTCTTTGTTCAAGTCTTAGTAGAATCTGGCACTCAACAGATTAGGACATCTTCCGTCCTCTCTACTGATATCAGTGGCAGTCTTGACCGATGTCAGTATGTGCATCAATGTAACTCATAGTCAATCAGCAGTTGTCCTGTACGAGTCAAATGGCTGCAATCAACTCTGGGGTCACTTCACAGTGTGCCTGAGCCGGTCGTGAACAGTCTCTTATAGCAGTCACTATGTTTTGAAACTGCACACACCAGCACTGCAATATTTGCTGGACCGACAGGCATGTATCACCACACTGGACCTTTGTTTGCTGATACATTTTTATAGGTTTCACCCCTTTAATGCAACGAAATCAGACAAATGCTAGGAATAAAGCCAGTCTTACAGGTCATCAAAGAACAACAAATGAAGTGGTTTGGACACCTAACAAGAATGCCCTGGTACTATCCGCCACAGCGAGCCACACTAAAACGTTACAGAGCGAGTGGAAGACCTCAGAAAATACGGAGTGATGGCATTAAGAAGAGCCTTACAGAAATGAACATCAGTCCTAATAGAGCTCTTGACAGAGCTCACCAACGAACATTACATCTCCCCCCGACACTTCGATGATCTAAAAGGTGGAAGAGAAGAAGAAGAAGAAGAAGAAGAAGAAGAAGAAGAAGAAGAAGAAGAAGAAGAAGAAGAAGAAGAAGAAGAAGAAGAAGAAGAAGAAGAAGAAAAAAGAAGAAGAGGGATAAAAAAAAACAAAATGGATGACAAGAACCATTTTTAAGCTCCGCCTCTACCACGTGACAGTTGATTAATATTACTAAGATTGACAGTCTTTCCAACTGCAGACGTAAACATTTGAATCATGACACAACCTAGCTTATTCTAAAGGCATCCAGGAATTGCCAAGTGTTTCCCTCTAACACGTCATGAATGCTTACTTCAGCCATCAGTTGTCCAAGGATGTAAACAGACTGACTCCACATGTGGGGTATTCTTCCAGTGGCCACACGCTTCTGGCTATTCGGCCTGTCATACTCTTTTTCAACCTAAACAAGACCAATCAAAGACACTTTGCAATATAAGTTTTCTCATCAGTATTTCAAACAAAAAATATTACCACAAATAGAACAGACACAAGTTCAACAGGAAGAAATCGTATTACAAATGTCTAAAACCAGAAAATTATCAAATATAAGACTGACAAGAAAACACCTTATTACAAATGTCAACAGAGAACTGACAAACAGATAGGTTCAATAAGATATCATACATGTCAAAAGTAGAGAACTAACAAACAGATAGGTTCAATAAGATATCATACATGTCAAAAGTAGAGAACTAACAAACAGATAGGTTCAATAAGATATCATACATGTCAAAAGTAGAGAACTAACAAACAGATAGGTTCAATAAGATATCATACATGTCAAAAGTAGAGAACTAACAAACAGATAGGTTCAATAAGATATCATACATGTCAAAAGTAGAGAACTAACAAACAGATAGGTTCAATAAGATATCATACATGTCAAAAGTAGAGAACTAACAAATATTAAAGTCCAATCGGAAGATAACAAGTAGAGAACAAAAAAGTCCAGTAGGAAAAAGATATCACAAATGTCAACAAGCAGAAAATTAACAAACAGGCACAAGTCCAATAGGAAGCCACCACAAAGGTCATCAAGTCGAGAATTAACAAGACAAACAGGCAGACATCACAAATGTGTTTGCATATCCTAGTCCCCATTTTCACAAGGGTCAACTTCAGAATCAAGTCAATTATAAAACAAAAAGACAGACATCACAAATGTGTTCGCATATCCTAGTCCCTATTTTTACAAGGGTAAACTTCAGAATCAAGTCAATTATAAAACAAAAAGACAGACATCACAAATGTGTTCGCATATCCTAGTCCCTATTTTCACAAGGGTCAACTTCAGAATCAAGTCAATTATAAAACAAAAAGGCAAACATCACAAATGTGTTCTCATATCCTAGTCCCTATTTTCACAAGGGTCAACTTCAGAATCAAGTCAATTATAAAACAAAAAGGCAGACATCACAAATGTGTTCGCAAATCCTAGTCCCTATTTTCACAAGGGTCAAATTCAGAGTCAAGTCAATTATAAAACAAAAAGGCAGACATCACAAATGTGTTCTCATATCCTAGTCCCTATTTTCACAAGGGTCAACTTCAGAGTCAAGTCAGTTGTAAAACACTGCCTCAATGTGAACCAGAACTCAAGCTAAGACCTCTTGGCAGCTAACCGTTTACTTACAGTACGATCATGGCTCGCCATCTCTATGTATGTAATGTAAAGTAAGTAAAGCAAAGGACACTTTCCACGCTAGTGGTGTTTCGAGCATACTATGCTAGTCTCTTATGTTTGTAGACCAACTGACACTTGATAGCTGCTGTCATCAAACTCACACTAGCCACCTTTACTTTCCAGGACTTTACCTGGCACCCATTTTAGGCTGGGTTGACTTGGCAGCCAAGAACACCAGAATAAAAAAAAAACCTATCTGATGCAGATTTAAACTCAAGACCTTCAGCCATGTATATGATGGAGGGCTAACATACAGACGATTTAGTTGGAGAAGACCATTGGAGAGTACTGTCAACCCTGCTCAACAGGCAGAGGCATGGTTAAAAAAATAGAGAAATAGCTGAGAATGCAAGAAGAAGATGACAAGCTCAATAAATTACTTGAGAGTGCAAGAAGAAGGTAAAAAGCTCAATAAATGACTTGAGAGTGCAAGAAGAAGGTGACAAGCTCAATAAATGACTTGAGAGTGCAAGAAGAAGGTAAAAAGCTCAATAAATGACTTGAGAGTGCAAGAAGAAGGTGACAAGCTCAATAAATGACTTGAGAGTGCAAGAAGAAGGTGACAAGCTCAATAAATTATTTGAGAGTGCAAGAAGAAGGTGACAAGCTCAACAAATTACTTGATAGTGCAAGAAGAAGGTGACAAGCTCAACAAATTACTTGAGAGTGCAAGAGGAAGCTGTCAAGCTCAATAGGTGACAAGCTGAAACTGAAACATTCCTTTCTTGTCTTACCAGTTCTATAGGTACAGTGTACAACTCTGGAACTACAGGTATTCCCTCCTCTGACACCAACATAATATCTTCCAACATCTTCTGGTACTTTGCTACCTAGTAAATAAAATAAAAAAACTCCAGCAAATCAAATATGTACTTGTAGAAAAAAAAAATAATTCTATCAACGCTACTGGTATTTTGCCACTTAGAACAGACATCAAAAATCCACTTGTAGAAAAGGATCATTCTTCAATCTATCTCCTGGTAATGTCATCTAGAACAGACAGTGAATCGAATATCCACTTGTTGAAATAAATCATTTTTTCATCAGTTGGTACTGTCATCTGCAACAAATAGCATATCAAATATCCATTTGTAGAAAGGAATCACTCAGAGCAAACAGCACATCAAATATCATCATCATAAACCAGTTTTGCCGTTAAGCGTCGTAGGGAGGAATAATTTGCGATACATTGCACGTTGGCTGCCACTGGCTATTGTCATGCCGTGAAGGTGTAATGTCTTTAAAGTTGTCCATCCATATTATTTGCGGCTGTCCTCTTCCTCTTGTAGCTGATCTTCTGAGACGTAGCGCTTCTGATGTTTATTGATCTGGCTGCATTCTAATGAGATGACCAAAACAGTTGATCTGCTGTTTCTCGATGAATCTAGTACAAGGTGTCGTTCCCACAGTTACCCTGATAGTTTCATTATTAACGTGATCTCTGATGATTAGGTTGGCTACTTTTCTCAGGAACCTCATCTCGCAGGTGGTGATTTTGCGTATATGGGCTTTAGATAGTGTCCATGTTTGGCACTGGTAGCTTAATGATGGAATAAATATGCGGTTAATAATCTGTCTGTTTGCACTCATTGTTGTGCTTGGATGACTTAATAATGGTGACAATTGGTTTATAAGTGCACTTGCTTTCTGACATCTGGTTTTTATTTCTCTGTCATTTCTACCATCTTCTGTGATCATACTTCCTAGATATTTAAACTCTCTAACTTGATTCATGGCAGAACCATTCAGCTGTGTGTGTAATGGGGCAGGGGTTCTCTGATAGAGATGTTCTTCCAAACGTTTATATCCTTCATTATCCCATTTGAAACATTTCTAAATACAAATTACCCCCAGCAAAATCTTGAAGCTCGCACCCGCAAGGTAAATGCATAAGGTATCCAGCAAATGTGTCAACACTATCAGTTTCCCACTAGCAGAATTGCAGCTCACTGTTGATACAAGCAGGCAATCATACAAGCGGACAATACTGAATAAGTACAAGACATTTGAAATGTAATCAACCACCTGAATTCTTAGTGTGGTTCCCAAAACAAAAACCTCGCGGGTACAACATAAGAAGCATTCCAAATCAAATCCACAGCTCAAAGTGTAGCATAAGGCACTCAACATTGCAGGTGTGCAATGGAACCTTTGCACGCCAAGTCCATAAATGGGGAAATTGCGATAAAGAACATAATCAGTAAATCATGCCTAGAAATATTTTTTTTACTGTGTCAAGTGTCAGCAGCATTCCGCCTATCCCCTATAGTGGATATGATGTGCACCTAAAGAGTATAAATTATTCCCTGCTAAAACTTGTCAGGCACAGCATATTAGAAGGAAAAGAATTCAGCACTTCACTATTCAGACATGCAGTAAAATATAACTTCAGAGTTCCTGCAGAGAGGAGGAGAATACAAATATTAAAAAATAAACCCCAATAAGAATAGCAGATCAGCAATTAGTTTCTTTTGCACGGACATTCAAATTAAGGCACTCTGGGTCACTATATGCTAAACCTTTTAGGCTGCAATCATGAGGGTGAAAGAAATATTTTTTTTTTAAGGAAGAGAAATGATGTTAATAGGGTACCCTGCAGTGATACAATCAGATGTGCCCAATCTAAGGTAAATGATGATGATGACGATGATGATGAGAACAACAGTTATACTCATGAAGTTTCTGTGATCAAAAGAAGTCACTCACCTCATCAGCTCTGTTGTTGAATAGACCATCCAAGATCAGGAAGGCAAAGAACAGAGGCCACTGACACTCAATGTTTTCAAATGCCATTAGCTCCCAAGGCTCATAGTGTAGTCTGTGTGGGTCCTGCAGAATTGACATCACTGACAGAATTAGAAGCTCCAGTATCAAGTCCCATGGATAGTATCATATGAGAAATGTATTCCAGAGATAACAAGTAGACTGGACAATAATCAGGCAAACGGAGAACATCAGGTGAAGTTGTGTTACACAGATCAAGAAAGGATAGGACAAGTACAGATGTTTCAGTATCTAGTTACACAGATAACATCAGATGAAGTTGTATTACAGACATCAAGAATGGTTAGGACAAGTAAAGATGTTTCAGTGTCTAGGTACAAGTATAACATCAGATGGAGTGTTGCAGAGATCAAGAATGGATAGGACATTTACAGATGTTTCAGTGTCTAGGTACATGGATAACATCAGATGGAGTTGTGTTACAAAGATAAAGAAAGGATAGGACAGGTACAGATGTTTCGGTGTCTAGTTGCACAGATAACATTAGATGGAGTTGCGTTACAAAGATCAAGAATGGATGGGACAAGTACAGATGTTTCGGTGTCTAGTTACACAGATAACATTAGATGGAGTTGTGTTACAAAGATCAAGAATCAATAGGACAAGTACAGATGTTTCAGTGTCTAGGTATACAGATAAGAGCAGATGGAGTTGTGTTACACAGATAAAGAAAGGGTATGACAAGTACAGATGTTTAATATATAGGTATACGGATAACATCTGATGGAGTTGTATTATAGAGATCAAGAAATGATACGACAAGTACAGATATATAAGTGTCCAGATACATGGATAACCAGATACATGGATAACTTCAGACTGAATATGCTTCACAGAGATTAAAAACATAATAGGACAGGAGCAGCAGTTCAATATCTAGGCACACGGATACATCACAATGAACATGACTCACAGAGATAAAGAACATAACAGAAACCACCGTAAACCTAGATCATTATTATCTTCATCAGATTATCAGTTTTTGATTCTAACTTCAAGGCAAATTTATCAATCCTTAATTGCTCAGTTCATGCACCAGTGAAAACCACATAAAGCTGCTAGAGGTGCTAACACCGACAGTATGTCACTGGAGTTGCTGTTCACCATTCATGGAGGTCGCGGTCACTTGAAACCAGCAATAATATCTTGACATAGAAAAAGCTTGTCAACTACATATATTTTCCCTTGCTCAGCAGCTAAATGTGCATGTTTTTAACAGAAGAAATACCTCTCTTGCCGTCTTGTAGCCATCTCTGAGGAATCGCTTGTACCCATACGAGCCCTGAGGAAATATTTTCAGTCTGAAGCCCGCATTCAAACATCATGAAAGTATTTCCGACAATAAAATATAATTTATGACCGAGCTAGTCGAGCTGTGAGTCAGGATTGCATTCATGTATGGTCCCAGACATATGGATACACTTGCCCCAGGTCATTCCCTGTCAGCTGTAGCATTACCTCCGACAAGCAACACACTGAGGCTGGAGACTGCTTTGCCAAAAGAAGTATGGAAGGGATGTGCTTACTTTATTTCTTGAGAATATGAAAATATCAAAACCTTGGCTTCCAGGTCGACCTAGTATTGAGTGGGTACCAGGTAAAGTCTTGCGAAGTATAGGCGGCCGATGTGAGGCTCACCACATCACTCACCAAGTGCTGACTGGTCTACAAAATACAGGTATAGCCCTATATGCCTAAAAGGCGTGGAAAAGGGTCCTTCATTTTACTTTTATGAAAATATCAAAATGTGAATGACATCTTATTCAGCCTTGTATGCTGCCCCAAGTCATGGTGTTATCGTTACTTTCCTGACAGCATCTGACACCTTCTGAAATATCATAGCTAAGTCTGCAAACTCTGACACTTTTCTGTTACTCTTTCTTATGTCTTTATCATGGAAAGAACACTGTTCATGGTCTACAATAGCTATTGCATCCTTATACATATATTTTATATGGACTTATGGAGTTACTGTTTGTGTAATGCTTTCGGCAGTTTAAGGAAGGAGACTAAGCCCCATGGGACAAAACCCAGTGCAATGAAGTCGATTGTATGGCAGCTGTGTATCCTTTCCCGGACACTACAGAACCAACCTCAGCATTGATGTTGTTGTTGTTGTTGTTGTTGCGGTTTTTCTAGGCAAATTTAGTTTTAAAAGTTTGTCATCGCTTTTTAAACAGTCACCACTCGAAATTACTGTCGACACCAACGTAAGATAGTCTGCTGTTAAATTACCTTCAGCTGGGATCGAAAATAACAATCTGGAGACGACCTGTTTACATTCTCTTTCTCTCAACTGACTGATTTTTTAACCCCAAAAGGGAATAACTGAGCTATTAGGCTAAACACACACACAAACACACACACACACACACGCATGCACGCACACATACAAATTAGTTTCCAGAAGAGAGATTTCCAAATTAGGGAATTCCATCCCTTGGGATAAGTTTATTACAGGGTCATTTTAAAGTTAAAAGTTTATTGGTCTGACTTCACTGCAGCGGTTTTATCCCACATGATAACAGATAGCAAAATGGCGTTGCACACAGCGCAAATCCAAAGACTAGGCGTTGATCCACAGGCACCACAAAAAAATTGCACTCGTGAAGCCGGAAAACGAATACAGAACCATTGTCTGTTTCTGAAGTATAGTAACCATGGCGATGACTGGCAACACTGATATAAAGAGAGCAAGGGCAAGGCACAGAGATAAATACCCTAGTGGCTTAGTAAATATGGATGAGGTCAAACAAGCACACAGACTTACTCCATGATTATGGTGATTGTATAGGATGGTGTCAACAAGACAGCCTAAGCTTTCTGGCACGACACACAATGATGATTACAGTATTCCTGTTATTTTCTTAGCCGTTGAGGACTTTAGTCAAAATGTTTGTTTGCTATCTGTGTATATTTTCCATTTTTAAACTTCCTAACTGCTGTTTATGTGTTCAGTCATTCCTGATACTGACCTACTCTGTTCTGAATTGTTATGGCAGCATGTTGTTTTCATTAGATATTCTATGCCAGACTTTCCTGTCAATTAGGTTACAGCCACACACCTCTAATTTCTCCATGACAGTTTTGCGTGTCTTTGCAATAATTTCAGGGTCGTCTACAGCAAATGCTGGGAAACCAATGACAGTTAGAAGAGCTGCATCCGTTTCCTGTTGAAAAAAAAAATTTAAACAAAAAATTATTTAAACCCAGATCTAAGAGAATGCGTAAATCATAAAAATGGAACTGATTCAATGACAGCATTATTAAAAAAAAAAAAAAGGTAAGAACAACGGGGATAACTGCAGACAAGCTAGTATCAAAGAAAATTAATTAACCCTGAACAGTGACTAGGAAGGTTAACAAAGGTAGAAAGGCGGAAAACACACAGAGGAAAATTCCGATATTTCCTACAGCAATCTTTATCGTCAAAAACCTTGTGATTTCTGTTGATAAAGATATCAGCCGAAACGTCTAATTGTTTCTGTGTGTCTTTGTTTTCTCTCCTGCGACATTTTTAAGCTTTTTAGTCATTCCATTCACAGGATTAATTAATTTCTCGAAACTAACATACTTTGGCATTCACTATAAAGATGAGTGATTTTATATACTTTTTTTGTCACAGTATCACTGTAATTTGTGTCACACACTGATGAAGGCTTGCTTGCAGCAAAGACTGAAAGGCTACAGCTGCATCGCCCTTCTACTGAGTGCATGTCATGATACTGTGTACAGATGTGATCTATAATGCTTTTTGGCTGTGCCCAAAGTTATTTGTATGGGAAACGGCAGATTAAACAAATGGTGGTTGGTCTGTTATAAAACTGGTGGTGCTGAACACGAGTAACTGCATGTGCAACTACTGATCTGTTGTAACTGCTACTTCCAATGACGATGAGCTGAAATTCTAGTGTCAGATTGTTTGTGTTGGCACTTCTGATGGCTGACTTATGCATTTAATATATGTGTATGCTACTGGATGTGTTAAGACTACAGTCTGAGTCAATATTTTTTCCCCACAACAGACAGTGATGGACATTTTATGTGATTTTCCTTGGCACTGGAGCGGTGCAACAATGGGGTGACCAGTCTTCTACGAAGCTAGAAGTGTGATTGCCTGATTGCCTGAGTACTCATGTTGTCAGTCATAATTGTGGTTTACTGAAGCAAACAAGTTATACTTCTCATCTGGACTGATATTTTTCATATTTGGAAAAAAAACATTGAAGAGTGGGGTTCCTCGGAGAAGAGGTAGAGGTCAATCAAGATCATGGTGGTCTCAAGATATCAAGTGCTCCCTCAGCCACCAAAAAAATTTACAAGGCTGGAGAGCTGGCAAAG